GGCCCATAGCTACTGGGGTAGCTTGCCGTCAAGTAGAAGGGCTCGGACGCGCTCCATGGTGGTACGCATGCGGCGTTCTGCAACACCATTTTGCTGAGGTGTGTATGCATTGGTAAACTGGGCGTGAGTTCTATACCTTTTAAATATGATGCGGCCAAGCTTATCGTACTCGTTAGCGTTGTCTGCTTGAAGCCGCTGAATCTCACAGTTGCCCTGGTTTTCATTGTCTTCAACACTGAATGTGTACTCAATAGCAGATATATTTTGTCTGAAATTTTTCAGGGCTTTCTTCGTGAAGTCTTCGTAGCAGGCATACAATTTGCTACAATTCTTAACTGCATAAGTGAAGATGAATCGAGAAAAGTCATCGATGAAGATTAAGAAGTAACGACAACCAGTAAGGCTAGGCACAGGTAGTGGGTCACAGATATCTGAATGGACTTTTGACAAAGGTAATGTAGCACGTTGAACAGCTCTATTAGAGTAAAATGGGAAGCGGTGTGACTTCGCTAACGTGCAGGCAACACAAGAGAAATCTGTCTTTGGACCTAGAGGTATAGATCTATCGAGTCCAGGTATGGCTTGGCCCCTAGATAGGTCATTCAAGACACGAACGTTAGGATGTCCAAGGCGTTTATGTAAGGGCCGAAAGAAACGCTGCTTAACTAAGGCAATATAAGCCGCTGGAGGTGCCGCTAGTTTGGCTTGGAACTGATACAGATCCGTGTTGGTAGCCATGAGCGCTTTGATCTTGAAGCGCTGGTCAGATTGCATATAGCACTGTTGCGGTCAAAGTTGAAGCGAAAGTCGTGCTTCACAGCTGCTGGAATTGATAGCAGACTGAATCGGAGCTAGGGGGGGGATAAGAGGATAATATTCTGCGAAGTGCCTTTGGAGTCAGTGATTTCCAGATCGACCCGTCCGATGCCTTCGGTGGGAGTTTGGCTATTACCACCAACCGTAACTGAGCCACCACTGGAGGTGATGTCGGTGAGCCACTGCCACTGAGATTCATGGGTGACGTGGCCAGTGCAGCCAAAGTCGATCGTCCAGGTGGGATCGGGCTCTACCTTGGCTTGTGCGGTGAGGCTAACCGGTGGATTGACTGTGGTAGGAACAGCGATGAGACCGGTGTCACGACCTCCTTGGCGAGTTACCTTGCGGTTGTTTCCAGAGTCACTGTCGTCGTCATCTTTCTCGTCATTGTCTGACTCATGAGGACGGTCCTTGTCGAGATTTTGGCCGCGTTGCTTGCTGCCATTTCCATGCTTGTTCTTGCTACTACCGTTGTTGTCCTTGAAGTCGCGGCTGCTGTTATTCTTGCCGTGTCGTCCATTGCCACCTTCGGTTCGAGTTCTGGTACGGGTGATCGCGTTTCGATTTACCCTCGAAGGCGAAGTTAGCAGGAAGCATTGTCCCAGTCTTCACTCGTCCATCTCGCAAATCGTTTTGAAGGCCTCGGCATTGACGAATGTTGTGGCGTGGGCGATCACAGTAGGAGCCGACAGTGGCGTTGCCACGGCCTTGAGCGTGTGACACAGGAGGTCCGGTAGCCACTAGAGCTCTCTCACCCTTGGTTGTGGTGTGCCCTTGTCCAAGGTATAGCGCTTTTGAGCTTAAAGATCGCGAACCTTGCCTTCATGCTCTGCTTAAGTTCTTCATACGGGATATATTTCCGCTGGCCCTTCCAGATGTGGGGATCGTCCTTACACGACTTGGGCATGGAGCTGAACAGGTAGATAGACTTCTGTCCCTCGGTCATCACCGATTCGGTGGCCTCTGACGCGGCTCTCATCGCGTTCTCAAGCTTAAGAAAGAACTCGGTTAAATCGGAGCCTTCCTCGTACTTGATTTCCATCAAGTAGTGTTGAATGAAGTATGGATCAGCATGAAAGGCTACTCCCTCGTACTTCTGGCAGATGTAGTTGAATATTTCGTAGGATGTCGTGAGATTCTTGACCAGCCGCACATGCATGTTGTCCATCGTTTTCATTAAGAAGGCTTTGGTCTTGGCTTCTTGTCGACGGTGTTCGCGCTGGCTAAGAGGCTGGGGCTTTTCTTTCTTGGCGCATATGCGTGCACGGCGAGCCTCACGCTGGTTAAATGGTCGAGCAACCGGGAGGTCCTTCCTCTTGATTGACGTTTCGGAGCTGGCTCCAGAGTCTTCGTCCGAGGCCGAGGGCGGCTTGAGCTCGTCGTCGCTCTCTTCGTAGTCCACAGCGTCGGCGTCGATTTCGACGCTCTTGGTAGCGTTGGTATGCGGTTCATCGTTGGCGTCAGACATATCGCTGCCGTTGTCTTCACTCTCGTCTTCAGACATAACATCGTAGTCAGGCTGCTTCACGTAGCCGAGTAGGTGCTTGCCATCTAGTTCTACGCACACACGGGTTTTCCAGACGTCGAAGTTTTCGGTGCCGATGAGGCGTGGGAAGTCGGCGCTCTGATGCTTGGATTGGGCTCATAACATATGGCTCGGTAGGCAGGTAGAGAAGAAGAAGAGAGAAGAAGAAGCTACTTGTAGGTATCAAAAGACGAAGTGAGCACTTTATTAGTCTTAGGAAGCCACTAGTAGCTGCACGCCAGCCATTAGTGTTAGTTTAGTTTAAGCCAGTCATAACGGCTTAAACATGATCTCCTAATTTTTTTAATAATATCTTAGAGAGATGCTTTCAAGGTTATCATACTGTTTAGAGACTACTTCAACAATATCCTGGTGGCTCCAGGTAACCGTATATACGAACGTGCACATCTTGGTAAGTCACACCGGCATGAATGGACTCCGAGCGGATTATTAGAATGTCTCACGCTCGAGCACCTTTTAGAAAGGTTGCGACAAATGCGCTGTGCTTTGCAAAGCTTTTGTTGTTTATCACTAGAATGGGTGCTCGATTTTTAATAAATCGATGTCGTTTTGAAAATCGAGATTTAAAAAAGGATAGATCGATCGATTAGAGTAGCTAATAAATCGAGCTACGACAAGCCAAATCAAGCTCTCGTGGTCGATTACGACAAAGCGACATCAATATATGTATCACATAAAACAACTCCTTTTGCGTTTTAGAGTGAATGCAGATATGAAAATCCTTTTTCCAAATCTCAGTTTTATACCTGTTTTTATGCGCCGCTCGATCTAGATCATAAAACTGAGCAACATTTTATCTGAAAAGCACATATTAATAGATATACGCTTTTTAAAAACCACGCATTCTTTTATCTGGGTCTGCGTCAATATCCAGAGCTTCCGGACAACGGCTTTAGTTGCAAATCGGTTTAATGCGCACCAAAACAGTTGCTGGAACACGACTTTTGGGCATAGTGAAGACCAGTCATGCGTTTAATAACGTCCTGCATGTCCTTGGCGCTTTAATGCATCTCCTGCGCCTGCTTTGCAGCCGCAGCATCTGCCCACTTATTACCTGTAATTTATGGAATTTTATACGTAGGCTCTAGCGACACCCTGCCAGAGGACACTACGAATATGTTTACAAAAACTACTGTTCTCTAAAATATATTTTCGAGCTAAGGATGGATCTGACATGATTATCCCCAGCTAAAGCCTGGTAATTATTAGGCCGAAAACAAAAAGGTTTCTTACAAATTCTAACATGCAAGTAACGCAAAACTTGAACAAAGGGATCTTGGTCAATTTGAGCTGACACTAAACATTTTAGTGTCATTAATATTTAATATTAATACGAGTAACGGTATTCGAGTGGCAACTTTAACGGCACTACCATAGCGCTAGAATACGACCTGTGTCAAGGACGGCATTAAATGTAGACTGTAGCCTATTAATAGCAGCAACGCCGAGACAAGGAGCCTACTGTTGTCATGGGCCTTCGCAAATCTGGTCTCACTAATTAATCTAAGACACAGAATCTGTAAGGCTCAAGCTAGGGCAGAGACCAAGAGCTTACCTATTAGATGGATCAAATTAAATAACAATATAGCATCGCGCGTAGAATCAATTGGCATAGCTACGATTAGTAGAGAATGGCAATAAGGCGGTCAGTTGTCGAGCTAGACACGTATGAGTTGATTAAACTACCATGATCCGTCAAAGCACTGATAAAACGTAAAAGGTCGACTGTGATTTTCTTCTACACGCATTCGGTGAGGAGGCGCGAATCTGAGCTTGAACCACAAGTTGGGATCATGCGATTGGGATAAACCCCTTCTTTTGCCTTTTGGCTTCAAGATTGAGGCCCCAGAACTTCGAAGTATTAATAGTAGTGTCGGACTGAAATAATACTGAATGCACGCCGTCTTGACGGCCAATTTTGGCTTCCGGGTACTGTCATGGTCCCGTCCCACCGTAATTCTTGCCAAGCCTATTCATCGGAAACGTTTGTCTGCAGCACCGGGTTTTTGTAGCCCTTCGACTGCTGAAGCCATTCCAAAAAATGAAGGCCGATTAACAGAGCCCTCCAACGCAGCGGAACGGCTCCGTTACTGTACCTACACGGCAGGAACAAGTCGGATCAAGACAAGCAGATCTTGCCAAGCACTGTCGTGGCGCTCCGTAATACAACGCGACGACGCCGTTAAAGCGCCATCGAGCGATGCACGGCATCATCGGCTGCCTCCACACTGAAAGCTTTAATGCAGTGAAAGACTTGCTAGAGCCACATTCTACTTGTCATTGCTCGCATTACGAATGCAATGAAGTCGCGGCGGTGAGGAGTCTGCATGTTGTAATCTCTGCCGCGCGTCGAACACCCTTCTTTTACAACTGTAAATTACCGAAACGAACTTGTTTTTAGAGCAAATCGCTGTGAATTAGCTCAATTCGGACCGTCTCTGTGCATAAGTGGGCAGACTTCTCTCGACCAATAAGCGTGAGGTTCTTACAGAGCGAAACTGAACGTCGAGCGGCAACAAAACAAACCCTCCCGTTGTTGCCAGCTGCCGCATTTGCGCCGTCGCCGAGTTGTTCGGTGTCAGAAGGACGGGATAATCTCCAACCAAACGAGAAGCAGAAACCAGTTTTCTCAATCGGCGGCGAAAGTCTCCCCGCCCTGTCGCTCCAGATAAACGCCTCCGCTGCTATCGAGTTAGGCACGAATACTCGGTAAGTGGCGCTTCCTTCCCTCTCTCTCTTCTCTCTGTTGCGGGAACAAAAACGATTCTCACTCTTTTGCGTACTTGTCGTGGCAACTCGACGCCAGCCCCCTCCATTTTATTCCACAGTAACATACAGACATGGGCACGCGAACAGAGCGCGTGTTGTCGGACGCCGCCGACAAGGTGGCCAAGGCGGAGGAGACCGCACGCCAGTACGAGTCCCAACTGGCCGAGGCGGCGGCGAAGAAACGCCATCTTGAAGAGGAGAACGAGAAACTGCGCGCCTCCATCCTCAATATGGCACTGCAGAACGCCAGCGTGGACCTCCGTCGCGAACATGTGCAGCTGCGACAGACACTCGACTCGTACCAGTCCAAGATCGACCAGATGCGCGAGATCTCGCTGCTCTCGGCCAAGGTGGTGGACAGGTACGACACGTGTGCGTTTTATTGAGTGGAGTGTTGCCGCTGTGATTGACGATTCATGTATGCTGTATTGATTGCAGTCGAATTAAGACCAAACAGGGCCGACAGTACGTCGAGTACAAGCTGCAGATTGAGACAGACATCCGAGGCACGCTGGTGTTGTGGCATCGATACAGCACCTTCTTGTAAGTTTATATATCATTGTCAGAAAGTGTATGTTTTTGATAATTGATTTGCCACTAACATGAAAACTGTTTTTTTTTGCAATGGCAACTACAGGAACCTGGCAGCAACTCTGAAGGCAAAGAATCCCAACAGTGAGCACGATATCCCAGAGCTGCAGACTCAGAGCCTCACGGGTTTCTTCTCGGACCAGCTCATCATCGACCGTATTGCCAAACTCAACGAGTTCCTGGACGTGGTGACCAAGGCCGACGAGTTCCAGTGGGGTATCCGGATAGATAAGGACACGTGCGTGTACAAGCGCAAGAGCAAGCGGTCGTACAGCGTGGGCTCGAGAGAGAGCATCTCGACTCTGACCCCCAGTATGCGCGACAGCATGTTCATGCCCGCGTCCTCTCGAGCATCCACCATCTCCATGGACTCGTATTAGAGCAATGCACGGACTTTTATCGCCTTGTTTTTTGTTGGAGAGGACCAAGTAGTAGTGTAGCACGGATAAAAAATGCAGGATAAGGCGCGACAAAGATGGAGGTGGCGAGGTGTGGGTGTGGCCTTGTGTACAGGGCGTCCGGCAAAGTTGGGACTCCCAGGTTAACGACAAGAGAAAGCGACAACATAATGCAAATGTTTTTTTTTACATGACGTCGGCTTCGGCCGTTAACGTGTTTTATGCTGTTTTTTATCCTGCATTTTAGTTATCCAGGTTAAGCAAGAAGGCCGCGCCCATCATGACCCAGTAGTTGGGTGGCTTATCACTGGGAAGCTGCACTGCTATGACGTAGTTGGTGGAGATGCCAGTGGTCGACAGCGTTCCTTGCCTCACCGACGTCTTGTACACTGGACATGGGTACATCATGACACCTGGACTTAGTGTGGGGGAACTTGCCACCGCTGAAGTAGCAGGAAGGAAGTGGACGATGGACATGGCAGAGAACATTTCTCCAGGCTTGGCGTCTTCAAGGAGACGACGCGACGGAGACCACTTGGCTCCTTGTAACCAGAGTCCGTCAACGTAAATGCCGTCGGTGGGGCTCTGAGTGAGTTGCTGCGCGTTCTCGACGTCCAGGACGGTGAAGGTGAAGGCCAACGAGTCGATGGCAGTCTGATACTTTCGAGCGAAGTTCTGCAAGGTGCCAGTCATGAATCCTTGCGGGAAGAAGAAGACGTTAAGCTGGAACACAACCGGTTCGCCATGGAGTAGCCATTGGCGGAAGAACGAGACGCGGTCGAGTAAGTCGCGGACCCACGACGCGAGAGGCTTCAAGGACGCAAAGCCGACGGAAGACCAGAGCTGCGGGACCTTGCCGTTCAAGAAGGCAGTGTACATGTTATCCAGCTCTGAGGACATGACGATGAGGCCGTTGATGGCCTTCTGGATGTCTCTCAAGGACGAGCGCATACGTCGCAGCAGTGTGTTGAACTTGATGACTTCTTGGCCCAAGACGGTGGCCAACGAGTCCATGACGACAGTCCCAGCCACGTCTCGAGTCTTGAACGTCGTGGGTCCAGCCTCTTTCACGTTGAGGTCGGCTGGGAGGTGTTCTTGAATAGAGAGGGCCAGATCTAGAACTCGCTGATCGTTCGACTTGCCGCCGCCGCCGCCTCCGTCTCGCGGCTCGAGACTCAAGATCAACTGCATCATGTTGGCGCTTTCGTTGCGTTCGTATGTGACGTTGGCGTTCTCGTGCATCCCGAAGAGTTCGGGATTGTCGAAAGCTGGTAGAGCGCTGAGATACGACTGAACACTCGAGTGCGAGAGCTCTTTGGGCACGTGATACAGACCCGACGTCGAGTACGCGTGGCCCGAAGCCAGCACGTCGGGGGTGTAAAAGTTACTGAGTATACTCGTAAGACAGCGGCGGTCCCAGTCGTCCGTCACGCGTCCTCCGTAGTTGATCTGGCCCGTGACATACCGCAAAGCGTCCCAGGGAATGATCGGTTGTTCCTCCAAGAACTTCCGAAGACTCGCCAGTGACGTCTCCAAGTCGGTATCGTTGAACTCGTACTTGATATTCCAGCCCAGAGCTCCGAACTTGCGTCGCTCCTGGACGATCGCGTGGAAGAAGGTGAGTGCACAAAGCAGCGACTTCCACACGTGCTCTTTCGCCTCGCCAGAGTCAAAGCTGCCGAGATAGCGGAAGCTCTCGAGCACTTCGTCGGACAGCAACGTGTTGAACGATCGGAGCAGGTTCGCGCGGATTCCTTTGGGCGGCTCGTTCGTGAGTTTGATGCCGTTTTGCAGCACTGTCACGGGGAAATACGCGGCCGGGAAACTGGTCAGGAAGAGACGGAACGTGGCTTGGCACTGCTCGTCCGTCCGCTGGCCCATATCTTCCACCAGTTTCTCCAGTTTGGGCATCCAGGACTTGGCCAAATGGCAGTTCTGCAGCAGCACCCAGTCGCCCGAACCTTGGCTGCTCTCGATGAGTTTCTCGGCTCGTGGGCCTTGTCCTTGGCCCAGAGAAATGAGATGCAGACGCTCGATGAACGACATTTCCTTGGCGAATCGAAGCAGCATCCCCGTCGGATCAGCACCCGCTGAGAGCACGAAGATGCACGGAGTCTTACGGTCTGTGTCGTTGTAGATCTCCTCCATCGTCGTCGAAGCGTTGCGACCAAACTCCGCCCCCATCTCGGCCGAAATCATGTTAAGCACCGACTGAGGCACTTTCTCCTCGGCTAATCCTCGCAGTAGCAACACTTTCTGGAACGCGTTTAGTACTGATCCGAAGTTTCCGGGACAAGAATTCGGGTTTGACAGGAATTTCGGATCGTCGAGCCAAGCTAGCCAACGTGGCCAGACATTGGTCAAGGACGTACCGAGTCCTTGGAAGGCCTGGACCTCCGTCCTCTCGCCTTCTGTAGTCTCGATATATCCAGTTACGACGGTCTCCAGTTCCGAGATCAAGTCCCATTGAGCCTCAGTGATGTGCGACGGCTGCGGGTTTGGCTGCTGGGTCGAGCGATCGGCACCTGGTGGGGCCCCACGGAGATACAAACTCCACTCACGCGCCGATATCTTACCGGAATGCAGCAGGATTTTACAGCAGATGAGCATCGAGAAGAGCACTTTGTGCACTTCGAAGAGCCCTCGACAGATATTCACGTAGATGTATCGAGTCTGGAAGTCGATGAGGTTTGTCAGCCGCTTCTGCAACGTGTCGGCCTTGGGAGCCTCGTCGAAGCAGATGTTGAATAAACGCTGGAAGAACGGCAGCGAGTACTGGTACATGGGGTCGATTAGCGCGAGATTGGCGACCACAAAGTAGATAATCGACCCTCGTGTAGCCACGCAGCGGTATTCTTCTCTTGCGCGGTTGATCTCGATCTCTGTGCTTTCAGATTCTAGAACACGCTCCTTAATGATACGAGACGTGACGTTGGATGACTGCAGCGTGTCGATGAGGTCTTGATCATCTAGAACGTTTCCTGAAGACTCGGAGAGTTGTTTCAGGATACGGTCTTCGATTTCCTTAAGCTGTTTCTTATCCTGTGCCATCGTCACAACCAGCCGGTTCTTCTTCTCTTCAATATCTGGACGTTCATGACGCACCACGTCGCCTAGAAGCTGGTCTTCCAGCCCATCCATGGTCACTGTGAAGTTAATGACGGTCACCTTGATATAAACTTCCGGAAGGTAATGCGGATTCGGAAGTTTCGTAGTCAGAAACAGCTTAAAATTGGGATCGTAGTCCACATCTGAATCGCCCAGACGGATCAACACCCGTCCGCCTTGTTTGTAGATGGCTTTCTGTAAGATTGGCTCTAGCGACGGCTCCAGCGTCTCGTCAATATCTTCAATCAACAAGGCCTTACCGTTCCGGATACAAGTCTCCAATGACCGCAACAAGTTGGCGTTGGTCATTTTAGTCGTTTCTAGATTTGGAAATAGGGTTTTCTTAATCCACTTGTTCGCTTGACCCTGTGGATCGATCATCAGCGGCCACCGCTCGCCTCGAGTCACTAAGATGGCGTTATCGGTTGACGTGGAGTCTGTGGGGAGCCCGTTCAGCTGCCATTCACGCACCTCCACTGGGCTACCGAGTGTAGTTGAAAGACTGTAACCTGACGAGCACGGGATATGAAGTTCCTGAGTCTGAGAGACCCACTGGTCCACAATCCGCTGCCGAAAGCCCCCCGTAAAAGGCCCGTAGTAGGAAATACAGGCCGCAGCTAGGAACGTATCCCCAATAAGCGCCAAAATCGACTCCGACAAGGACGCCACACTCTCTTTCCAACGAGCTCCTTCAACTGACAGTCCGGAAATGAGTTTCTCAGCACGGACGAGGCGCTTTTCGGTCACCGCCGCGTCGTTTGCGAGCTTATCCTTCTCGTCCAGAGTGTCTTTGCACTGCTTCTCCAGCATCGCCACATTCTCGTTGACGACGCGCAGTTCGTCCTGTTTTTGGCTCAGAATCGCGTTAGCTTCGGCTAATTTCTGGTTCATCCGTTCCAGATTTTCCTTTTTCGGACCCACTTCCTTGGCCACTTTCGAGTACACGTCCATGGCGTGCACCCACATACACAGCGACGTCGCCGCCTTGGACACTTTGGCCACCACCTCCACGGCCATACCCGGCTCCGACACAGCCTTACTGAGTTTCTTCAAGGTCGCCGCGGGGATATTATCCTTGTCAAAGTTCTTGAGTTTATCCAGAAACGTCACGTCGCTGAGGATTTTCTTGGCGGAGTCCCAGCTTTGCTTCTCGTTGAACAGCAGACACACCGCGTTCATGACCGTCTCGACAGCCTCCGGAGGCTTCGCGAAGGACTTCACCTCTGTAATGTCGTTCTTGGATAGACTATCCAGAGCTTTGATCGAGTTGTTAAGAGCCGGCATCGCCACATCCAGATCTTTCTGCGCGTCAGCCTGGACGACTGCCACTTCTTCGGCCTGCTTGGTGACTGTAGCCTCGTCCTGCGAGACACGTTCACGTACGACTGCTGCGGCCCTTCTGGTCCACTGACACGCGCTTGAGTAATTCCTCGGCTTCGACGGCTTTTTTGGCCAGAATGGGCTGCAACTCGATCAATTCGGACTTTAACGAGTCCACGATGCTGTTGGTCTCCTCGAGCTTGTTGACGCCCACTTCCATGCGGCTCTTGGTCGTCTGCAACACGGCACGTTTCTCCTGTAACATTTTCAAGTATAGTCCGATGAGATCGAGGTAACTTTTGGGCGTAGTGTACACGTATCGCTGCAGTTGCGACAGGAACTCGTCGCCGAAGTCGTTGGACGTTGTGTGGACGATGGAGCACATGTCGACGAGCGCTGTACGCACGTCCTCCGAGGGCAAGGACACGCCGGCGAGCAGTCGATCAGCCACCGACTGCAGAGCTTCGCGCGGCCAGTTCATGTACCAGTCGATCGTACAGCAATTGATGAGCGACGGGAAGGCTCGACAGCGCACGCGAAGAGCTGAGCCCACTGGCGACATGGCCAAGACAATGTGCAGATAATTGCGCACTCGCTCGATAAATGTGGCAACGCAATTGTCTCGAGTCTCGGGGATCTCTATGGCTTTAACTATAGGTCGCATGTCGGCGATAATGCGGTCCATTTCGTCCTGAGGGAAGAGATTGGGCACTTCTCCGCTGTTTAAAACATTGTTGATGTCTTCCAAGAAACTCTCTTCGACAATCTGACTGTCAGTGAATAGAAAGACTGTGGACTGGCCCCCCACGCCGGCACTGATCATGAGTTTCTTGAGGTCTTCGTGGAACTCGTTGGTGCCGTATCCGCGCGTGATCTCGATCTGAACGCACTTGGCTTCCACCATGAACGCGCCGAGACGAGCGAGCGATTGTTTCCCGCTCCCACCGACGCCAATGAGCATCGCGTTGCCTCGAGGTTGGCGTAGAATCCGCACCAATCTTGATAAATGCGCGATGGCGTCTCGGAAGAACACGAGGTTCATTTTATTGGCGAAAGAAACGTTGTAATTCTCCAGGAAATCGTCCATGATCTTGGTCACTTTGGCCACATCGTTGCAGTGTTCGTACAGGGGCGTGGGCGTCCCCGGTTTGAAGAAATCGCCGAAAGTCAGAGGACACGGAGCGTGGAAGAGCGTCTCTCGTGACCAGCTACAGTTGAAAAAACGCTGCAGTAAAGCGCACACGAGCTCTTCGAACCACACTTGGTCACTGGCGTTAATAAGGCGGTCTTGGAACACGCGGGAGGCCTCGTGCACCCACAAGCGGTTCATCGAGTCTGCATCGGGACATTTGGACGGCGTGATCATGAGAATTCCCTGGGAAACTTTCGACACGTCGCGCAGGTTAAATGTGTAGTGGAATTTATTCGGCGTGGGTAATAACTCGAGTGCCACGCGGTTGTAGATCTCAATAACACTGGAGATTATCCCGTCTTTCATGGCCTTTACAGATGGAGCGAATTTCTCCAGAAAACCTCCAAGAATTGATGCAAAAATGAGCTTCAAAGACGTCTCACCTGCCGGATACATGCTCAAGACGTGGAAGTGGCGTACGAAGCGAGGGGTGCAGTGCGATCTCCCACCTCCAGCGGGCGCCGCAGCTGCCAGTAACATGGTGTCTGCAATGTCTTTCCAGAATAATTTATCGCGGTCGTAAAATCCACCGAAATCCAGAAATTGACGCAATAATTCGATTGGGGCTTGGGCGCCGTACTCCTCGACGGCTGGTAGGTTGACGTCGTCTACGAAGATGATCATACGCTTCCCCGCTACGGGCCCCAGTAGATTTTTACGCTTCTTTTCGAGTTTATTCTCGATCGTCATCTGCGTCACTAGCGACGACGTTTGCGCCGAGAAATTGATGAAAATTGTCATGAAATTTGACGCTGGGGCGAAGGAATTTTCGCCATTTTCTGCGTTATCTCCAGTTGAGATCAGGGGGCCTGACGTCAGCTCTTGCAGTAAATCCTGGACAATTACCGTCTTGCCTGTGCCTGTGACGCCCGTGACGTATGCTGGGCGCTTGGCTGCAGTTAAAGTGCGCAACAAAAAGGTGAAGCGAACCGAGTCTGGCGTCGCGACGGTCATCTTGAAGTACGGAATTTGGGCATTGTACACAAATTTTGGGACCACTTCACTCCACGCGCGGAATTTGGTCTGCTCAATGTCCACAAAGTAGTCAAATACCAGCCCAGCATTCGGGATATTGAGCTTGGCCTCGGTCATCAACTCGCGCGCGAAGCTGTCGAACTGTTCGTGCGTGTCCATCGTCATCGTCGCCCCCACAGACCAGAAGAGAGAGAACGCGAACACTTTGTCCAGCAGCTCGAGCATCTCGTCGCTCTTCATTTCTAAATACCTCACGCCATTCTCAGGACTGAAGAGAGACGCAAACAAGCGACACAAACTCGTTGCCAAGTTCATATCCACCGTCGGGACCAGCTCAAAGCTCTTTCTACGCACAAATTGGATACATTTGTCCACGTAATTTGTGATAAGCAACTCGAGTCGCTTGAGCCCTTCAGACGGGAAATCTGACGGCAATTCCCTCTCCATCCACGTCTGGACGAACGGCATCCAGCCGAGATCCGCGGCAGTCATGTAGACCACACCAATCCGACTCACCGTCGCAGGAGACGCCACCGCCAGATCCATGACCTCGAACAGCATTTTCATCTCGTTCTTGAGCTTAATGCGCTCTCCATTGGCGAGACACAGCGTCATGTTGTCGTCCAGAACCGTGTTCATGTTCTCGATCCACAGGGCGTCGATAGGTCCGTCAAACACCGTCCACTTGACGTCCGAGGACTCGTCCGCCACAGCTTCACGCATGATCGTAGAAGCCAAGCCGTCGTGCCACTCCTGAGTCGCTTCGTTGAACTCTCCGTACAATTCCCCCATGGAGATACACTTGGGGTTGAGCACTCGAGCGTGGACCGTCTGGTAGACTGGATTCTTGGACCCTTTAGCACGCAGAGACGTCATAGTGGACTGCAGTGTTCGGTAGCACGAGGTCTTCCCCGCCCCCGTTGGACCCACCAGTGTCCCTCCGAAGCGGACGTTGAAGATATCAAACAGTTGAATGACTTTGGTGACGTACGTGGACACTTTTTGTAATCCTGCTTGTGAAATTTCCTCTTCGAGAGAGGCTTGCAGCTCTCCGTAGTCGTTCGGAGGGATGTCGGTGCCTGGGAACAAGTCGAGCACGATAGCGTGGAAGAGCGGCAGATCGTCTGCTAGGAACTTGGGGATGTTGCTGTCTCGGAGAGCGCGAATAAGCGTGACGTCCTCGTTTAAGTCAGGATTAGCACGTTTAAGGGACCCGGCCATCACCAGCACGGACTTGACAGCTCGAAGCCCGTAGTCGTAGTGAGGCTGCTGAGAGAGCTGCTCACTGCAGAGGATATACAGCTTACACATCTTACGAGACAGCGTACGAGCGTCGCCGAACCCCTCCGCAAACAGCATAATTTCCGCGATAAGCGCGTAATCCGGTACCATCATGGATACGGGTCGGAAACACACCTTAAGGTTATCCGGAAGCTCGGTGCGACCAGCATAACCAGGATTCATCGTCACGATAACGTGGTGATCCTTAAGTAAGATCTCGATGCCCATGAAGTTAATGTGCTCCTTACCCTGTATACGACCTTCACGCAGGATAAGCAGTTGCTGTGCCACCACGGATAACACTTCGATGTCAATGCGGTTAAACTCGTCCAGACACGTCCAGTTCCCGGCCTGAGCGAGGCCTCGGAACAGCTTCCCCATCATTTTATAGTCGATCTGGTCACTGCAGTTAAACACGACACACTGGATGGCCATCGCTTTGGCCAGGTCTTTACTACTCTCGGTTTTCCCGGTCCCTGCAGGTCCAGCAGGAGCAGCGCCCAGCTTCATCCCGTACGCCCCCGTGAGCGTCATCCAGCAGCGATCCGTAAGCGGTGTGATCACTAAACGAGACGTAGCGCCCATATACTCGTACCCATACTGGATAACAGAATCCGAATGTCGGATAAGCACATCGTCCGCCTGGGCGTCCCAATAGTACCGAAGCTGCTGCTGCCAGATAAAATTCCCCACCGAGTCCACTTTCTCGGTCCACAAACTCTCCACAATGTCGCGCGCATGCACGTCAGTCGTCACCAACGCCACGATCACTTTGCGCTCCAGAGAGCTGAGATCTCCGCGGATTTTCACGATAAGCTCGTTCAGCTCGTACAGATTGCGTTTGTACCACGCGTGCATCTCCTGCACTGGATTTTCACTCTTAAGCGCTTCTTCAGTGCTTCTCGCCCACGTCATCTGAGCCACCGTAGCCACAACTTGTCCAGGATGATCGCAGACCCACACCGAGCGCTGCTTTGAGTCGTAGTCGAGTAATCCAGCCTTCATTAGCTTGTAGATGGACTGCTTCATACTCACTTCCAGTGCCTTGAGCCAGTCCTCGACGTTTCCTCGCGCTTTCAAGTTTTTACCGAGCGGAACTCGCTCGTTCTCGGACGAATACATGGCGAGCATGTCCACACTACCGGGGATATCTCCAAAATCCAGTTTGACTAGATTCTCGAAGCATTTGCGCAGATGTGGCTGCACGGCTTGTGGATTTTTAGACTGCGCGAGGATTTCCAACAATTCGTCGTTGGATAAAAAGTAAAATCTAGGAAATGCCATCCGCTTCGTCTCGAGATAATCCTCGAGGTTTTTCTGGATTTTATCCAAATGCGCATTGTGCTGCTGCAAGGTTTCTTTGATCCCAGGGAACGTTCCCGACGCCAACACGTGTGGATTCTCATTTGTACGACGCATAATTGTCTTCCACGACGCGTCCACGTGACTGAAAATCTTTGAGGCATCCGGTAACTGTCTCTGAATATCTGGAGCCGAGAAGATATTCTCCAGATACATCCAGTTCTTCTGCACCAGCAGCCACTCGTCCAGTGTCTCCTGTAGAGTAACGAGCTTCTTCCTCCAGCCTTCCACTTCCTCCTGAATCGCACCGATAAAGCGAGAGCCCATAATGGTACTGATCGTCACGATCGAGTCATCCAACTTCGCAGTGACCTCCTCCACACTGCCCAGCACGAACACATCCTTGGATTCTTTGTACGGCTTGACCTCAAACTCGGTCGTAGCCCACGCATCCGTGACTTTCTTGAGCATTTCTTCGAGCACCGCTTCTTGTTGGGCAGATACAGCCACAGCGCTGATAGTCTCGCCATGTTTCATCACGTTTCGCTTGATTAGCCCACCCAACGTCATACTACTCTCTCCTTTCATCTGGAACCCCAAAGCAGCGTGGATTTGATCCCAGTGTCGGTCTTTTAGCGACGACGAGCGTAAATCGGTCACCACGGGGAGGACGAGCTTGAATTTCTCCACTTCTCGCTGCAATAAATCCGCAGCTTCGTTGCCTGGCAGCTGCTTCTGCGCTTGATACGCCACCTTTACGTACATCTGCACCTGTTTACTGATGGCCGCTACGTCGATATCGTCGAAGATTGTGTCTGAGTACGAGACTGCGAGCTTCTGCCACGTGTCCAGGCCACTCCAGAGCTTCATTTTGAGCTCGAAATGTGCCGCCACTTCGTTGATTTCGCTAAACTCACTCACGCTTTGCTTCAATTGCGTTTGGAACATGGCCAGCATTTTGGATTCTTCCACAATTTGGTTGAGCGAATCTTCCTGCGCTTGGAGGAACGACAGCGCCTCATTCATCGGCGTTTTGATCGTTGATAGCTTCGGATGATCCAGTTTTTCTAGTAACATCTGCGCATTCCGGTTCAACGGCGAGATACTATCCAGAATAATCTGAGAGAAGCGCGCTGTCTCGGAGTCAATTTCCCCTTCGAAGCGAGTCACCGTGCCCTCCAGACTCAACACGCCTTCCTTCATGAGGATAATATCCTCTTTGATATCATCCGGGACACGCCAGTCGTAATTGTCCATCAGAACGCCAATCTCGTAGACGCGACGGTATCTACTTTTTAAATCTGGGAGCAAGGTACTGACTTTAGACATATGCACCACTTTATTCACGAACGCATCAGGTGTGGACGGCGTGGAGAACGCGACGGGCGACAAATCGTTCAACGTCTCGAGTAATTCGGTGCTGGTTTTCTTCATCAGTTTCGGGATCAGAGTTCGGATTCCAAGGATACACTTCTCAGGATTCGGAAGCAGTCGACTCTTAAACTCGGAAGAATCCACTCGGAAGATCCCGACAGTCGCAGCGTCCGGAATCTCAGTGAACGACTGACTTTGGGATCTGTACTTCTCGACGGATTCCGAGAAAAAATCCAAGGGAGCAGTCGCGTACGTCTCCATGAGATGCGTCACCTGGCCTTCGTTCTCGGCGTAAATCTGGTGGAAGGGGCTGAACACGTCCATGTATTCCTCAACAGCCTCGAACGCCTCGTCCAGCGCCACGAAAATGTCGTTCGTCAGCAAACTGAACTTGGCGTCTTCGTTAAGTATCAACGCCACGTTAAGTTGCTCCACCGACCACACGTCTTTGCCTTCGTCTTCAGCACTCGCGGTAGTGTACGGAGCCAGCGATTCGTGTCCTAGATGACGCGCTGGCGTCTCCACCATACGCAAAGCTTCTTTCAGAGCTCGTTGGAGGGCTCCGTTCCACGCGTCGTGGTTCGGTGTGGCGTTTAGAGCTGAAGTGGCAGAATCCATCTCCACAGATACCGCGAAGATAGCAGTGAATGGCGGAGCTGCACTCGCCTGACCGGATTTTCCTGGATTTTTACCGTTCGTCTGAGTCACCGGTGCTGGAGGTGCTGGCGTTCCAGTGAGTTGCGCTTTCCCAGCTGCGAGAATGGCGTAAAGTTGCTGGAAGGACCGAACGGTGAGTTGGATAGTTGCGTCGATGGTTAGAAAATCTACCAGACGCAGGAAACTCGTGAGTGTGCGGCATTGCTTCCGTAACGCCGCTCGCTCCATGAAGGTCATTTTGTGGTCGGCGGCGATCTTGTTGGCCACTAAGAAGCTGTCGATGACGTCGTTCGTCCCATTTTGGGTTCAAAGTCTTCTTGGACACCGACGACTTGGCCGAGAAACCCGCGAGTTGGTAAGTGACCTGAGCGCGCGTTTTCTGCTGCTCCAAGTCGAAATCGCGCAGTGAATACGTTTGTCGGTTGCTGAAATGGATCAGGTCCAGTCTCGTGACGTCCAGACAGAGAGAACGCAGAGCTAGCAACGTGGACTGAAGGCTGGGCGCTAGGAGGAAGAGCCTCTCGTTTAGAGCCTTCTTGGCGTTGCGCATTTTGAATGTACGCACCGAAGTCTTCCACATGTTGAAGTTCTTCCACATTTTATACTTCTGGAAGAAGGGGATCGCCAGCATCTTCATAAAACGAGAATGCTCCGTCTCCCACTTGTCCAGCGTCCAGAATTCGGAATGTTCCGTAGTAAAGTGCGTCACGCCTTCCAGACTCATCGTGAAGTAGTTCGAGCGATCCACTTCAAAGTGCTCCACGACTTCAAGTGCGTACATGATGAGATTGGTGTTTTTCTTTTTGCGAAGATACAAAAAGTTGCCAGATTTGAATTCCTTCAGATATTTGGGATCCAGATTGAGAGATGCTGTAAATGACGACTGCGTTGCGAGCGCTTTACGCTGCGCAGCCTTTGACGCAGGCGAGAGACACGCGTATGGACCTGAATCTCCTCCCTTCTGGTTCCCCTCACCGGCTAGTGTCGGAGTCCGGGTCATTGTCGTGCTGCAGATATGAGACTTATCTTGAAGGTTTCTGATCCTCTCAGATGCCTTATGGAGACTAAGATGCATTACTCCAGGTGGTAAATTCATCATACTGGCAGACGTTGATAGAGAAGGGCTACCCGACGCAGAGATTGAAGGTGGCAGCACTCCAGCTTGAGCTCGTGACGGTATATCGTTCAGGAAGGTCACTACGCTCGCGTTCTTCTTCATTCGGCTCTGGAATTTAGGCTTTAGAACAGCATTGCTTTTAGTCGGGACAGCACGCTTCGTTGGAGACAGAAGATCTCGGGCATCTGTAGCAGAGCCAGGTCCTAGATTTGGCTCATACAGACGCTGCAGGATCTGGTTCGCTTGCGGCCCAATCGATACGCCTCGGCGCTTGGCTCCATCCCGAGACTCACCCCCGTCCCTCCTGGCATCCATCCTTGTTACTTATTGCAATGGATTGGTCTGCAGGGTCGTTGATTGATCAAGCGGGGGGACACCATGTAACGTTCTCTAGGGGAAACGACATGACTCAAACGGGGTACAGCATCTACCTTTTACTGGAAGCACTTTGGTACGCAGTATGCAGTTTTTGTGGGCTGGATTACACCAGGGTTATGTACCCACCCACCCACCCACCCCTTGACTCCGATGTCAGGTTGTGTGCTTTTAGCTGTACAAAGAATAGGTCTGGAGCGTTACTTTGTATTATTAAAGTCTATTAACGCTTAACAGTCAAAATATTAGATGTTATAGGGTAAAGCGGTAAGGGGAAAAAAAAATTTTCTCTTCTACCCATCCACTTTTTTTTCGAAAAACCCGGGTTTTCCAGAACCCTGTAAGCGAACAGACCAAATGGGGATTATATACCGGTACTTCGTGTGGGTGTACACAATTTTTTCCAAAACCAATACCTATTTTAGGGGAATTTCTATGGAGATCGAGGTTACGGAGATCGAGGTGTGCGTAGTCGTGCAATTGGGTAGTACCGACCTATTTGGGAGCTACTACATGGTTATTATTAGTCCAGTTTTCTGTCTGTTGTTGTTCTCATCGGAGACTTCAGACGCGTTGTTATGGCTCCCTTAGAAGAGCCTACCGGAAGCTTTGAGCTCCCACCTTTGCCCAAGGGAGTCTTTGATTCGTACGATGAAGCTGAGTCAGCTCTCCACGCTTGGAGCAGAGAGCGAATAATCGACGTGAGCATGAGCCACCACAAGAAGAACAAATTGAAGCTCATCTGGCAACGTGATATCAAGTGTGATAGGTATGGTAGAACGCAAAACAACCGTGCTCTTCGCGACGAAGATCGTGTGCGACTTCAAAGAGGGACTCGGAAGACGGGATGTACAATGAAAATCCGTCTTGAAGCGGTAACAAAATCTGACCCCGCTGGTAAATGGAAAGTTGTGTATCTGAATGGATCGACGGTGCACAACCATCCACCTTCGCAGGACGTTAGCTCTCACCCGGGACACAGACGCCGTGACATGCAGAAATTAATTTCACAGGAGCTCACAGCTGAGGGTGTCGTAGCTTCTCAAAATGCTGTGGGCATTTCGCCCCAAGTTGCTGTGGCAATGTTACGTAAATCTCACCCTGATATTTTAGTCACTGCCAAGGACATATCTAACTACAAAAACGCTGAGCGTAGTGAAGAGCTTCGTACACACACATCCGTAGAGGTTCTACTGAAGCAGTTGGACAGCAACAAGTTTTATTCCGCCTACAAATTACATCCAGAGACTTCTCGTTTGCTGTATTTGTACTGGTCGCACCCTGGCATCATGAAGTACTTTCCGTGGAACTCAAACGTGCTGATTATGGACTGCACTTATAAGACCAATGAGTACGATCTTCCCTTACTAAACATTATCGCCATGACGAGCACGAAGTCTGTCTTACCTGTCGCCCAATGTTGGTTACCTGGTGAAAAAAAAGAAGACTTTGTGTGGGCACTGACACATTTGCTAAACATGATGACAGCTAATCACATAGCGCTCCCATCGATAATTCTTACGGACCGTAATTTAGCATGCATGAATGCGGTAGATGCTGTTTTTCCTGCTGTTCCGTCACTAGTGTGTCGTTGGCACATGAATCGCAACGTATTGGCTAAGACTCGTTCAATTTTCGGTCAAATTCAAGTGGAAAACCCATTGCCCGAACAAGACAAGTTTGTAAATACCGTTGCCACAGATCAGTTTATGCAGCTCTACTACAACGCTGTTGATGCACTTACCGAAGCTGAGTTTGACGCAAAATGCGAAGTTATTCGCGAAGCCAGCTCTGAAATGGCAGATTATCTGGACCTACAATGGTGGGAATACAAGACAAAACTTGTTCGCTGTTGGACAAATCAGTATCTGCATTTTGGCTATCGTGATACCTCACCTGTTGAGGGAACACATTCTAAATGTAAGAAGTGGTTAGAGTCATCTCGAGGCGACTTGTTGACAGCCTTCAAAAAGCTGCTACCGTGGTGGGAAGCCAGCATACAGAACGTGAAGTCTAACCTGGAGAAGGATGTCACGGTAATCTCTAATATTCTGCAAAAGCCTCAATATTCGGGCGTCGTTATGTTTATCGGTCGCACCGCGTTAGACTCCACTGCGGAGTTTTGGAAACAAGGTGAAAAAATTGTGAAGAACAAGGAGGTCGTAAAACCCTGCACTGGAGTTTTTAGACGTACAAATGTCTCCCCATGTTTGCACGATATCATTGAGCTTATCAATTCGGACTTCCAAAAGAAACTTCGTGTCGATCATTTTCACCGGTTCTGGCTGACACGCCGTGGTCACACTGAAGAATGCGGAGCTCGTCCCCTCGAACCTGCCCCTCTAAAGCCTACGAAGACCGCTAAACGCAGAAAAAAAACACAAAAAAAAATCACGGTAAGACTGGAACTGCACGAGATCCAACATACAGTGAGCGAGTCGATCTGAATCACCCCGCAGCTCCTCCACAAGTCCGTTATATTATGATCACTCCGCCAGCACTTCAATTTTCTCTATTACAACCATCTACGATGTCTTTCACAAACTTGCTGACCCAAAATACTGCGTCGATCCCTCCGTGGGATGAATCTAGTACGAATTTAACGTATTACCCGGATTGTCTGCCGTCACGCTCCTGGGAATACGCAGGGAGACGTCCTTTTTATTCATTAGTATATAACTTACTAATGCATCGCCCACCATCAAACCGTTTGTGAACGAGGCCGTTTGGGATAATGTTCAACCGTTGACACATGGCTACCCAATTGCACGACTACGCACACCTCGGTCTCCGTAACCTCGATCTCCATAAAAAAATCCCTATTTTAGCTCTTGCCTTTAAAAATACTACTGGAGTATAAGACTAGCCGAGCGCCGCCGCTACGCGGCGGTAGTTTAAGGTTTATTCCTACTTGCTTTGGCCTTCCTGCCTCCGCTCCGCTAACTATTGAAAAAAAAAACGCTCAACCCGTGTGTACCTAAATCGATTTTTTTTAATTTATTAATTTGGGTCAGCATCATGCTTACCTGATTTAAGAAATAAAAATTCTAATGATCTTATATCAAGATTCTTGATGCAATCTCTTTTTTATTGCTGGCTTTCACTGTATCTTCATCCTCCATCCAAAACCACCAGCACTTCAAATAACACTTATACAAATGCTACGCAATATGTTTAGTTTAGCGTCGTGCGCGATATCACGGGCCATGTCTGAGCCGCTATGAAAGTTAGCTCACATCAGCGCAAACGGTAGTAATGGCCTGTCCAGCTTGCACCACTTATTAACCCCTGCCTTTACTGCCTATTTCAGCTTGTAATTAACTAAAGAGTGTTCACTTCTCATATCAACTCAATGAAAGCTAAACAAAAATATTTATATTTTAGTGTATGTAGCGTTCATTTTGTGCTGATTCAGAATTAGCACTCGAACCTGTGCCAGTTATGATTGAATCACTTGGATATTGTGTCGCAAGACGCCTTGCTGCTGTTGCTGTTGACGGTAGTGTTTTCTATTTGAATATTTAACGATGAATCCAGGATTATTGGACCTCATTTAGGCTCCAAGTTTATTAATGTTTCTTTAAGGGGTATACTTAACCAACTATAATTCACACCTCTCGTGTTTTGTTATTGTCTTGCCGCTCCATTTAAAATTGTATCCTACACCCATGTCGACGACACGTCCACCAGCTAAGTAGTATTGGATTTTGCTGTCTAAACAACTCTTAGAAAACAATGGTTTACAGCAGTAACGCATATGAGCTCATTTTATTCTAAGAGTTCATTTTATACAATCTAAAACTATCTATATTTATGATTCAAGTGACAACGTTTATTAGCAGCGGTGTTCTTACGGCCAATTCTTACGGCCAGCTTCTGTTGTACATGTACTACTATTTGGCAGCTGAGTCGGTTACCTCACATTCAGAAATGTTCTTAATATTTCTACAACAAAACAGTTGTAGCTCATTGTTTCTTGCAAAAACTATAAAGAACATAATATTTTGTGTATTAATAGTATGGCCTCGATAACACACGTGTACGATAAGCACCTTGCAGCATAGGAAGCGTCTTTAGGGGCTATTTCATTTGAGAATAAGTAGCAATTAAATATTAATAGCAACATCCCATATTAAAATAGTACAAACTAAAACTTCGTAGTATTTAAAATGCCGCCATCGGATAATGGATAGTATTGTGCAAATCTCCATTTGTGCTCTGTGAACCACATAAATTTACTGATGTAAGCAACATAATTCAGTTTTAACAAATCGAAGCCGCCTTCGCTACACCCAGCAGCCAATGAGAAGGCTCAAAAACCTGAGCGTTTCGTGTGACGGACGGACAGACACCGTGCTAGCATTAATAGTTTAGGACTAGCCGTTCGCCGCCGCTACGCGGCGGAGTGGCATGGTTTGTTGGAGCTGTGGTTTTCAGTTTTAAGTGCTTCGTGGTGTCGCGTGTTTTGTGAGCGTCACTCACCCCAGTAGATCTTAACTTCGTGTACTTAATCACTTACCAGTCCGCTGTCTCATCTGAACCCGTATAATATTGCTAAAATTTTACTTTTTCAACATATATTTGTCTTGAATATCCCTGTTTGGTACGCTTCCGCTACATCGTACTACAGGTTGGATGTCATGTTCTACAGTGGCCGGCGCTTTTCCGTGATCTTCGTGGCTTCGTGGTTCCCTGCTCACCCGTGGCCCACGCTGCTTAGTGATTGTCCTGGATCTGTGGACTCATTCTCTCACAGTGCTTAATGGTTGTGTGCTAACCTTTTTGGTCTCATGCGCTACCGTAGTACGACCCTCTTTCGTGGCTGCTAGATATTCCGTGTTCTCAAGGGTTTACGTGGATTCCACAGGCTTCGTGTCCATAATCATTCATGGTCGCGTTCCATTTCTGGTACACTCGCCAATTAATAATCTTCCGAAATT